GGAGGGATGAAAGTTGTCTTCCCTTTCCTTTTGGAACTAGAGGAGTCAAACCCAAGTCCTTTGCGACCCTTATGTTTGGTCGTTTCAAAAAAAAAGTTGTCTTCCCTTTCCTTTTGGAACTTCTTCTTGGGACTTGAGTATCCCTAGCTCTTTGTTAAGGGATTTCACCTTTTCAGAGAGAGATTCATTTTCAGTCTTGAGTTGAGTGATCTCATTCAGTTGACTTTTCCGACTTTCAGTCAACTTGAGATTCTCTTCACTCAATAGTTTGTTCTCTTCTGTTAAGGATGTGTGTTTGAGATTTATCTCCTCAAAGTCTTTCATCATCTTTTTGAACTGGTCAAAAAGATTTTCAGAAGTTGGTGTGCTATAAGAAGATGAGCAGGAGGTTTGTGAGGTTACCTCTTGATCAGCATCATCTTTGGCCATTAGGCAGAAAGTGTCATCTTCTGACATAGTCCACCAATCCTCACGGTTGGACTTCTCAACTCTGCGCTCCATGCAGACGAGGGCTTCTTCATCTGAGCTTGAGCTGGATTACTCATCACTTTCAGCAGCAACCATTGCTTTCTTTTTCTTCTCGATCCTTTCTCTTTCTCCGTACTTCTCCACCTTTGGGTACGGGCATGCCGACTTCCAGTGGCCAGGCTTCCTACAGTTATAGCATAAATAAGATTCAGGAGGGGAGTCACTTACCTGTGGCTTTCCCTTGGATGGCCTTCTGATTGAATCAGCCTTCTTGAAGAACTTCTTGAACTTCTGGAATTGTTTGACCATCATGGCAAATTCCTCTTCGTAGTTCTCCATTTTTGAGCTTGACGGCTGGCTGGAGGAAGGTGTGTCACAGTTTCTTGTGCATGTCCCTTCACTTGATAGAATTCTTGAAGTTGTCATCAATGCCGTGGGGAAGGGAGTGACTTGTTCTTCCTTCTTCTTTTTCAGCTCGTGCTCATAGGTTCTGAGTTCATCAAGGAGACCTTGAACAGTGTAGTTCTCCAGGTTTCTTCCTTCTTCCATGGCTGTGGCTTTGGTGTACCACTCAGTTGGGAGTGATGTCAGCAACCTTACATTCTTTTCTTTGGGAGAAAGAATGTGGTTAAGTGAGGCAAGATCATTTAATATCAAATGATTCTCCGGGAAGCATTTTGAAGCTTTTGAACTTCTCAAGCAAGACTTCTATCTTCTGCTTTCTCAGGTCCTCTGATCCCTCACATAGCTTCCCAAGACCTTGCCAAATCTCCATGGCAGTCTTGAGATGCTTAATCTTGGAGAAGGTGATAGGATCAAGTGTCTTGAAGATGGCTGCTTTGGCAACGTTGTCCAGATTGTGCTTTTTGCAATCTCTATCATCCCATTTTTCTTTGGGCTTTGGAATGTACTGGACTACATCTGGAGCAGCTGGATTCCTCTCAGGGTTCTCCATTTGGATTTTTAAGGGTCCATCCTCAAGCACCATCCACATGCAATCATGTAGAGCGTAGAGATGTGCTTCCATCATGATCTTCCAATCATCATAACCTAGAAGAGAAAACTTGGGCAAACCGTTATCCATATTGTTCACCATTATGATCGCTTCTCGTTAATCTAAATGTAGATAGTGAGAAACCCGCTACGATACCAATTGGTGGTCCCGAAGTGGTGAGTTACAAAGTCTAGAGGGGGGGTGAATAGACTTTGTTACAAATTTAAAAACTTTTTCGTTTCTTTTGAGAATGTGAAAATGAGTGTTAATCTAGAGTTCTTGTGAACTTTAGATTATGTGCGGAAGTTGGTGGGTAGAGTGAGCAGTAATCAATATGGATGAGTTAGTTTTCTCAGTTAATATAATTGCAAGTAAGAATAAAGATAAAAGAGAGAGACACGCAAACTTTAACGAGGTTCGAAGGTGGGGTAATCCTTCTACGTCCTCAAAATCCACTATGTAGTTGGTTGTTGAATAATGAACCAACAATTACACTTGTGTGAATTTCTGCACGGTATATCTTCGCAAGGCCAATGTTGCTACTGCACTCGTGCTGGCTTTGTTGTTCCTTC